CGTAGAAAACCATTAGCTCCCAGGGCCAGAGGAATGACAGTGATGGAAAGCAGAGTTTCATTTTAAAAAAAATAAATACAGCCCTTGCCAGTGTGGCTCAGTGGTCAGAGTGTCAGCCCACGGACTGAAGGGACCTGGCTTCGGTTCCGGCCAAGGGCACGTACCCCGGTTACAGGCTCCATCCCCGGGGTGCGTGAGGGAGGCAATGTGTCTCTCTCACATCGGTGTTTCTCTCTCTCTCTCTCTCTCCCCCTCTCCCTCTCTGGAAAGCGATGGAAAAAATATCCTGAGTGAGAATTCAAAATAAATAAATAATAAGAAGCACAGGATTAGGCTGTAGTGTTGGGGAGGCCTAGAACCGCAGGAAGTCGGGAAACTTTCTTTCTAAGGACACGTCGCAGGGTACCTTGCCCATGCTGTTGTATAATACAAATGTGTATTAAACTGACTCTACACTGCTGACTCCGTGCATGGACTTGGATTAAGAACTGGCTCGGACGTTCATTTCTATGCTTTACCATCAGCTTCTGGGTTCTCAGGTACGAGCCCGAACACAAACCTGTAAGTCCTACGGATTTTCTCACCTGATTCTTTGGGGGGGGTGGGAATCGTATAATATTTGGGGCCATTCCTGCTATAAAAATCTTTGCAATTAATGCTATTTCAGCTATGAAATGAGAATTTCTCTTCTTGTTCATTGATATTTATAAAAAGTATACAATGTACTGATACAAAAGTCAGTTTCCTAAAGAACGGCTTTGGGAAACAGTCTCTGCTCTAAGTCGTGTTCCGTGTATTTCCAGCAGGTGGAGTGTTGGACTCGGGGAAAGGAGACCCACATTGGAAAGCTAGTGGTTTTTTTTTCTTTTTACTGTTTTGAGAAAAAGCTGGGTCTTTGTCTCTTACCCCTCACATCTCCCTGCTTTGGCTTTTACTTATGTTTAGCCTTTAGCTTCAACTTGAAGCAAAACATTTATCCAGAGGGTGTGTTCCAAGTTCAACGTCTCTGAGCTAACCCCAAATATTGCCTAGAGTTGGGGATTCAGAAAGGTGAGAAATCTCGGGCCCTTGTCTAGAGCCCCTCGAGGCAGCATTTCGAGCCCCTTCTCAGGGGATGGGCCAGGCCCTGCAGGGGTGAGAGGTCACCCAGCTGCTTCCGTCTCTCTTCTCTGTCCCTTCCCCACTTTTTCATTTCACCCTCAAACAGACGCAGGCCAGACTCTGCCAAGGCCAACCGGGGCTTGAACATGGAAAAGACCTGAAGTCACAAAGCGATAACTGAACGGACACTAAGGCTCTGATTCAGGCGTGAGGCCCGAGCCCCAGCCTGAGTCACTCTGCTTTGAATGACACAGTGGTGTCTGCTGGACAAATTAGTGTTCCCTGCAGGTTGTCCTGGGGCACAGAGTCACAGTCATTAATCTTAATGAGCGTCTATGACACCGGCTCTTACTGTCAGCGGGGTGACCACCAGCTAAATGTGCAGCAAAATAGCTCACTTGGACCTCAAAGAAATTACCTTGAAATTATTACCCTTAACCAGGGCAATACACCTGAGACGACAGACACAATGTGACGTGTCCTTGGGCTTTTCAGGTAGCGCTTGTCTTGCCTGACCTGGTTGGGTACATTTTCTCTTAGAAATGTCCCTATTTCAAACGCAGCTGTTCCTCTCCCTCCCCGCGTTAGGGCGGCTGGGCTGGTTTAGACTGTCACCTTGAAGCCGGATGGACAGGTTGGCCACCCCTCTTTCTGGCTCACTCTCTTTCTGGCTTGGGTGCTTTTTGTCACGGTAAAGCGTGGACTTGCTATGTGATATCTGTTCAACAAGATGTAGAAGGCCTGGCACAAACCTGCACACAGTAGGTGCTCAGCACACTCTTCTGGGTCCTGTCTGAGTCCAGTCAGGAGAGAGAAGCCACACAGCAGGTTAAACACAGGGTGGAAGGTGTAAGAATTAACCGCGATAAAGGGAAACTCTGAGACCTAAGGACGCCCCTGTGGAGTCTCCTAGGGGCACCTCTGGGAGGGAGAGCACCCACANGCCTCTCAGAGGGAGAGCACCCACAGGACCACAAAAGGGCTGCGGTTGTTCCGTCCCCCAGAGAGCAGTGAGCTTCAGGTGTGGCCAGGCTGGAGCAGGTCCAGAGCTGCTGGGCCAACGAAAGGCCTGCTGTGCTAATGAAGGCGGCGGGGCCGCTCCCTGTGGAGGCCCTTTGCCTTCCTGGCTCAGCCCAGATAATCCAGAATAATCTCCTCTCTCAAAATCCTTAATCTCGTCGCATCTGCCCTGCCCCAGAGCTGCTTTCCCTTTCCCGGGGCCTCTGCGCTCAAACTCAGCCCTTCCCCGCAGTCCCCGGCCTGAGGAGCCCAGCAGGCTCCCGCCTCCCGGGGAGGACCGTGTAGGCCAGACCCCGCACTCCTCCCTCTCCCTGCTTCCACACGCCCCGGGCACCGGGCACCGGGCACCGGGCACCGGGCTCACTCCTTAGGAATGCTGACGGCTTTCTGCCCCTCTCCAGCACTGGTCGTGTTTTTCATTTGAATTGCTGCAAAAGCATGTCCTAACTGAACAAGTCACTCGGATTAGAATTCTGTGTCGTCACCCGTTTAGATTCCTGTTGGACATTTCTTAATTGGTGACTTGATGAGAGTTGGGTGTGTTCAGGGTATTGACAGGTAAAAGAGAAGCAGGTGGCCCTGGCCGGTGTGGCTCAGAGGTTATAGCCTCAGCCCACATACCAAAGGGTCTCGGGTCCAGTTCCCCGTCAGGGACACGTACCTGGGTTGCAGGTTCCATTCCAGGTCAGCCCGGGCCGGGGCACATGCTGGAGGCAACCAATCGATGTCTCTCTCACACTGATCTCTCTCTCTCTCTCTCTCTCTCTCCCCCTCCCCCTCCCTCCCTCCCTTCCACTCTC